TGTTAGGGACATCCTATATTAGATATTTATTTGACTAAAGACGCTGAGAAGGCTGATGCGCCGACTAGCCCGAGGTGTGATGTTAATATAAACACTGATAAAGAATGAATGCCTTCTACCCTGTTTTAGTCGAACCCTAATACGGTTCCTATATATGGTCTCATTTTATAAAAGACCGTGAAGTGTGCGTGTGTGTAGTTTAAAGACAGTGTCAATAAGAGGAAATAATTGGAGTTCTTGTAATTGTGAATTACAGGGTGAGTTATCACTGAGTATCTTAGCATGCTTACTAATTGTTAATTAAGTATTCTGTACTGTTGAAATGAATCATATGTGGAAATTGGTAGCAATGTTTGCTTGACCAGACCTGCCTATTATTGTTTTGTTGAGAGTTGTTGTGAAGGGCCGTTAGCTGCGGTGATACGGTCTAGTTCTGAGGTATGGAGATATCTTAGGGCTGTTAGCTGCGGTGATACAGTCCGTCCGTTAGCTGCGGTGACACGGGGGATATCTCAGAGGCTGTTAGCTGCGGTGATACAGTCTGGTTCTGGAATTGGACGCGTCTGGCCATGAGCGGGGTATCCTAGGGCTGTTAGCTGCGGTGATACAGTCCGAACCGTTAGCTGCGGTGACACGGAGGGTACCTTAGGAGGCTGTTAGCTGCGGTGATACAGTCTGGCTCCGGTACGGATGGTCTGGCCATGAACTATCTCAGTGCTATTGTTTTTCAGCCAATGTTGGTTGTGCAGAGGTGGTTTGGTCGGTTTGCATTGTTAGCCTGATATTTGATAAATAGTTGAATGAATTGGCCATATCAGTAAAAGATGTTTTGAGTAGAGTTAGCTGCAGCAATTTGAGAAAAGTATATCTAAACAGTAGTAATTGATTTAAGTTGTTATGCTTAAGGTGAGGGTATGCTTGGGTACTCATGTGTGTTTCTTTTATTTTCGGAAAAAAGGTCCTGAGCTTAGCTTAAGTGCCAGAGGTCGCTCCTGACGACAGCCAGACCCTGACTTGTGAGCACAGTAAGTGTTTTGTTTATTAAAAATTAATTATAAGTATCCAGTATCCTTCAATGGTCCACGCTCGGTATATACGCCCCTAACATATGAAGGCTGATATTTAACTAACCCTTAATAAAATCTAACTTATTATGAAGAAATGCGTTGTTTATACTGTACCTATTGAAAAACAAAATTTACTTTCTAATTAAAAGTTGTTTTTTTCCATGTATTTTATCGTCTGTTAAAATTAAGCCAGTCAAACTTCTAACACCCTGTATAGAATAAAATTATTGTGACAAGGCTAGTGTATGAAATTAAATAACATTTTGCAAATGTAAAGGACAAAAAATTTTGCATCATACCTATTTCACCAAAAAAAAAAAAAAATTAACTTGAATATTCCGATAGAATTAGATTTTTAAGCAGTAGTTTAACCCTGAGACTGAAAAAAAAACTAACATTTGAAAGGTTTGCTCCCCTCAATAGCCTTGTTTTGGCCTTAGATATGTCTTATTAAATTGTGTTCCAATGTTAATGAAATATACTGTATAAACAGTTACATGCTATAAGAAAACGAAATGAAAGAATTTTTGGAATTATAGATCCAATCGTTATTAACTGAACTACTAACACCGCATACATTTTTGGCTATTAATGACTACTGATGACAGTAATCATATACTGAAATATTAAAACTACTATTCGTCTATAGTCGAGGCAATGAAGCATTATGATAGGAAATCTTTTAGGATAGGACGTATCGGAATGCGATTTTTCGCATTCGCTTGCAAAAATTATTTATATCATTCGTACCTACTTTGTACCTATTACAAACCGGAAGTTGCATTGCTGCAACCAAAAATGCATGCAAAAAATGCATCTTTTGAGAGGCCTTTTGGCAAATTTAATAACTTCGTAAATAAGAATCAGAATTGGCTCAAATCGAGTACTCGGGGGTTTTCGAGGTCGCTGATCACGATTATGATGTTCAAATTGACCCCCCGAA